TACGAAGCAGTGTTCAAAATTATACCGTCGTTACGACCGCGAGTTCCATATGAATTGCAACCCGCAGTAAACATTTTTAACTTTGCTAGGTTATTAATAGTAGTCGCCCTTTGCGCAGCTTGTTCTCTTTTTCGTATCAACATATAAAAAAGGATATAAATATAGTGAAATATCAACTAATATAACTAACGAGACTTTGGAGAAAACAGAATGTATGTAGCGTGGAATTATTTTATAATGGTATTACTAAATATTTAAAATTGCATCGCGCTGCTCACATTTACGGTAAAAGTCTGTAAATATTTTGATGTTTGTGGTATTACGAATATTATATCTGTATATATAGTTGCCGCCCCTACGTCGCGTTACGTTACGTAATTTGACTATGTCAGAAACATTATAAAAATAAATATCGATATAAGATATTAAAATTGTTCATTTTTTTTAATAGTCCATTACCAAAAAACGTTAATTCAGTATAACACTTTGTCATTCTACGTTGATGAAGACATTATGGTGATCTATTGTATTCTCTACGAAACAAATCTCATTTCTGTCTATGCAGTATGAATGAAATTCATTGTTCAAAGAATACTATTGGATTTATTTGTCTAACTTTGATATCATCAATAGGTTAAAGAGTGTCGTGCATAAAGTTTGTTTTAAACTGATCTTCTATTAATCATATATTACATTTGCTGCTAAACATTTTGTCAGCATAATTTAATCATTCATTGTTTTGCGCATGTAATTAAGTAAATACGAAAAGAAAGTTAATATATCAAAAAAACTAAATTTTGTCCCATTTTTGTCCCAACCAAAAAAATGGTATAAAACAGAACATATACATATATATAAACATATACGTATATATAAACAGATATATAGCTATAAGAATAATATCATACATATTAATAAATCAACATAAAATTATTTATATATAAAATTATGCTAACAAATAGTACAATTGAATTTTAATAGCAATAATATATAATAAAAGAATGGCACACAAAAAGTTTTCTTTTAAATTATTCCTTGAAGAATGCATCTAGAATTTATTATTTATCAATATGTAAGATTGACTGATATTTGTCAAGACTCTAAAAACATGATATTTTTTTGTCTAAATGATAAATTACAAACAATAATTCTCAATATAAAAATATTAAAAATCATAGCATTAAAAATTTATATCTTAAAAAATTATTTCCTTTACTACAATATTAGTCATTCGCAAATTGATATATCGTATAAAAATATAAACGATTAATCAAATGTCACTAAAATATTATTGCAAAATGCTTATTAAATCTAATCAGATGACAATATAATTTCTTTTATTAAAAAATAAAACGCTAACTTATAATTACGATTAAACTTTTATTTTTCATTGAAATGTGAACTGAACAGTAAGAAGAAGAAGAAAGTAAACGTCACGATTAGAGTTACACAATATTCTTGTACTTTCGCTAAACATTGATTAATAGACACGGAAGAAATATAAGATCGAGACAAGTATAATATAAACAGATCAATCATGCGAAACCAATCTATCTAAACATCGTTAAGAAGAAATTGTTCTTAACAAGAGATAATAATGATCATAGCATGAACTATTTCATGAAACATCGCTAAAATATTTTTTAATATACTCATTTCTATTACTATTTTAAAATTGTACAACTTTATTATAAATATATTAATATTTTTCAAATGTAATTTAATTTCAATAACATCGCAAATGTGTTCCTATGAATCTTTGACATTTTATTAAAGGTATTTTTGAAATAATTTCTTTAAATTTATTAAATTTATTAAATTTCTTGATTTCTTTATTTCTTTGTGTATTATACTTCTAGATGCTTGCAAAATATTATTGTAATATAAAAAAACATGTATTACAGATGATATCAAATGTTTTTTATTTACTAATAATTTAAATACCTTTCTCTTAGAAAATTTATAATTTAATCATTTTAGATGCAAGGACTTTTAATAAGAAATATATGAGCCGCGATAACAATTTTTCTTTATATTTTAAATGAAAATTGCATATTTAAATTAATATAATAATTAGACCGGTCGCTTTCTATAGAAATCGTACTCTAACACTGTCAAATCACTATTCGATGTTTTAATAATTAGAAAAGCATGTATGCAAATTGCAGTTTGTTTCAACGCTATGTTTATCAGATATTCCGTTAATTGCTGACGAGAACTACATCGTTTCCCTTTTGCAGTTTACCTAACAAAGGCTTCAATGGATTTCAGACGCAAGATAATTCGATTTAGAAACTTTCCAAGTTTCTATCTCGATTTCACACCCAATCAATCTAGTGCCTCTATAATACTTTTAGAGCTTTCATGCCAAAATTATTCCAAAACTTATATACAGTACATAAAGATAGCAAAATTTTTGCTCGAATTAAAAGACGCATGTGTCTAGTGATAGTTTATTTCGTAAAATATAATCTTTCATTTTCATTTACGGATTTAAGGTCTTAATTATAATAATTCAACATTTCAAAAAGAAGATTTTATGGTACCTTATTAAAATTACAATACGACGAGAATTTAAAATGGATTTAAGGATTATCTAATAGAATTTTTATGACTATTTCTTTAATTATAATGTAATATACGAGTATCATATTCTCATATAATGGAAAAATGTACTGGGCATAAAAACATGAAATAACTGTAGATTCGTTTTCTAATTTATCATGCGTTATAAAATTAGAAAGACATTCTAATACTCTGCTATTTTGAAAAGTAAAATTTTCGAGGAATGAACATAATGACAAGAGCGTATACGCAAAAATGTAAACATTAATGAAGAGGGAGAGAGGAATAGAATTGTCCATAAACCATGTTATCTGATCACATATCTGCGCACAATGTATTTAGACACGCAACATACCGCAATCGCAAAGCAGATTTCTGAAATATTCATTGGAGATTCATAGAGCTTATTGAAAGAGAATTACAATTATTCAGATAATATGTATGTTTCGTATATGTATGGTTCGTTAAAGTGAATAATTAATGAATAATCCTGAAATCTTTTAAATATCAGCTTAATATTAATGAGATATAGACATAATCAAGTTGACAAAATAACACTGAAATTAATCTTTTCACACTTTTTAGTATTTTATAATATAGCAAACGCGTAATCTACTCTAATTTCATTTTAATATCAAAGATAATTATTAATATTTTAACTTTTTCTCATGTAAATGTAGATACTTTTAAACGTGAATATTATCTACTTTTTAACTTCCTGACATGATTACAAGATGACTTCATTATACAACTATGTCTGAGATTTGCTCAATCAACTTAGAGAATAATAGATTAAATATAAAATGATAAATCAGCACTTCTGAAAATAGGTTTTCGAACCTATATCCTACGTAAAGTTCTATAAGATGTAAAAGAGAACTAATATCCATCATGTAGAATTGAGTTATATTTTAGTAGACAGTCATGCTTCAAAACGGTTCGTATAGTCATTAAGGCATCATTAATCTTATGCTTTTCTTATGCGTACGACAATAAAGTTAGAACAGGTGCTATATCTCGATATATTGACGTTATTAACTCAATTATAGAACAATAATATTGTACAAGAATTCATCTAATAGATCCAGAGCAAAAAAACAAATTGTGTCATATATTTCAGAATTATTATGAAGTATTTATTTCAGCAAATAAAATAGCAGAGTAAAATATTTATTAAATTAATAAAAAATCTTTGAATTTTCTTGACTAAATAATATTTTTAAGTTGTCCTTTCGTTCTTTATGTTACAATATACTTACATAACCGCAAATAATGTAACCGTTCTGCCAGTTTAAAATCTTAAAATCTTTTAAGTATCAAAGAAACTTAGATATCCGTACAATAATTATTTCATAATTTATTTTTATCGAGAAACACAACAAAACTGTATTATAAAAAATGAAGAATATTACTAAGAATACTAGTAAGATGTAAGTAGTAATAATTGCGCAAATTAAATCTTTCGAAACAAAAGACAAATATTTATGTATGCTAAAAATATTTGAAATACACAAGCAAAATCGTTTTAATCGACAAAATATATTAAGATTACATTAAAATGTTTCTCATTTATGATTTACGATGTAATGCGATTTAAACAAGAATATGCAAAGATTTAAATAAAAGCTTTCAATACAAGCTCGCATTAATTTGTTGAACATTTCGATCAACATAAGTCATGCGATTTTGTAGCCTTGGCCTACAAGAAAACTTTACCTGCGCATTTTGCAAGATCAGTCCTTAGTCTTTTCAGCCTCGACAACAATACCGCGTTTTGTGGTGACATTTTCGCAATAAAGAAAACTTCCAACGTGCATTCTATGCGGATATACATATGTTGCGGTTTCCTTCCGAAAACTAGAGCAATTTACGACGCCGAAAATTGACGTAATATTCGACTTAGCTGCATACCTCGCCGACATCTAATTTTTTTCTTCACAAAACGTAGTCTACCAGTACGTTTCCGTGCATCAAATTTCAGACTTTGCGTCGTATTTTTAAACGAAAAGAAAATTTATTGCCTCATGATACAAGCTCAGAGATAGCATATGACAGCGTCAAGATCAAAAGAAAATTACACATGTAAAATCTTTACCATAAAGTAACTTTATTATTTTGTAAAATTGACTACGTGATAAATCATAGAACGGTGAAAGTGCAATGAAACATGCCATACTACTCTGAGCTTCTACATTCAAATCATATTTATATCACATTAATATCTATAATCATGTCATATTAATATTTTGTCTGTTTTAATATTACTTTTCATTAAAATCAATATTTAATTGAGTATAAAATAAGCAGTTTTAAAGAAATAAATTCTATTGAACTTTGGAAGATTTCAAATTTGTATATTGCACAAGTAATTCATACGTTATCTCTATATTATCATTAATAGTAATAATTTTGTCATCATGCATTAGATTACTTACCGATCCTATTAGTACAGCGTCTGCAATTCATCACCAGCAATTCGGGCCCATATTGGTAAACTGATTCCAATGATGGAAACAAACTGTAACAACATACTCTAATTAAATAATAAAACTGACTTTGATCAGCCGTTAACCGTTTTGACATGTACAAATAATTTTCAATTCTCATTACTCTGAAATTACTATACTATCTCGACATTTTCATTCAGAAAATTCTTTTACTATTCGTAACAATTCAAGAAATTTGTGTGGCAATTTTTAAAAGCTTTCAACTAAATATTTAAACAAATATTTTAATCAAAACAAACAATAATACCTTTGAAAGATCTAAATAGTTTTATAGACACGTAAAATCAGATATATAATTAATAGTAGAATCTGTATTTCAAATCTAATTTAATAATAATTTAATAATAGAATTGTTATTATTTACACAATTTTTCCTTACCATTTTAATCAGCTTGAGAAGCAGACGCTCAAATAAAAGATATTCTCGTTTCCGGCCGACGCGAACAGGTATGACCGCGAATTGCAAAACTGCAGGAGATATTAATCCTAGCAATACACGAACAATGAAATCCAACTACTAGCCAAAATAAGAGCGTGACAACGTTGTTTGCAGGAAAAAAAAATCAATTCGACAACCGGTCAACTTCTCGATCCTGCCAGTAAGGTGGCAGCACCTCGCCGCGATTTCTCTCGTCAGTGGCAACGTCGATGGCCGATTTTTTTTCTCTTTTCACGTTGCTGGCAGATTAGGCTAATGCGATGGACCAGATGAGATATGGGCCAGCGAATGGGAGTACAGTACTCGCATGGCAGGGGCGTGACTGTACCCTGGAAACGGCCGTGCCCGGGGCCGCAATCGCGACGTAAACTAAGTGCTGGGTGGAGCCCCGTCTAGGCACTACCTACTCGATGGAACCATCATACTCTACCTCGAATGTCACGAGGGCAGTCTAATGGTTGCCGGTCTCCTTGAAAGGCGCCAGTTTCAAATAGAAATTGAAGCTAACAAAAGTATGGGGGTATTGTTTAATCGTAATGTTGTTCTAGATTTCATTGCTTTCTTCGATTGGATTCATTATCAATGTGCATACTCATTGCATTTAATATTTGAATGATCTGATTTAATATTTGAATGACTACTCATATGGTACTCATGGTATCATCAATTTGTTGACAAAACATAACAGTGTTGCATCTTTTCCATTATTTTATTTTATAAACATTCTTTGATATTCCTTTAGATGAAATAAGTATTTCTTATTTATAAGTATTCATTACTAGAATTGTAAATGATTAATTTCGTTGCACTTGATATAAATTAATAATTTTAATTTTATATCTTCATTTTTAAATTTTGTTTCTTCATTAATTTGTAAACTGTTGTCACTTGGTAAATCGCAAATCAGTTTGTCGCAGACGTCAGATCGCATCTCTGGTGTCGCTCATCAGATCTTCATTATTCACATTTATTGTTGTATATAATGCGATGAAAGAATATCCATTTCGTGGATTCTATTGACCAACCGATTCTATTGAAGTCAATAATATATTTGATAGATAATTGAATCTGAAAAAAAACAAAGATATTATTTTCTTATTATTAAAAATACGATTTTTCTAATTATTATACAAAAACATTTATAAAATGTATAAGATAAATGATATTCATGCAATAAAATTATTGTAAAAAATATAGTTAGAAATATGAAATATGAAAGTAGAAAAATTAGAAAGATAGTTAGAAATATGAAAGAAGAAAAGCATTATGTTGTGTAAGTATAATTTCGTAGTGGTACATTGACGTAAGAGAAAAATATATAAGCAGAATCCTTTCAATTTGTTCGACGCGGTACTGGGCAATACTACTTACGTCATTCTGATTTTCGTGAAAGTTTATTGAATCCAGGTCGCGATATTTTTAACAAGGAACAATGAGGCGAACGTATTTGCAATCTCGTCTACAATGCATCCCAATGACCTCGGGTGAGAAAGGGCAGCAAAAGATTTAAAAAAAAAAAAAAAAAGAAACGTCCGTCCGTCGAACAAACACTTTTCAGTCTATCAGCTCTCGCACGGCAGTTTTTCATGCCCCGCTTACTCGGTTTCAACCCTTGCTCATTCCCACACCATTCGTCTGTCTACCGATATTCGTCGGTAGAGCCATATCTCCCGACTACTTTTCAATTTCATTCGACGAGCACGCCGCTCTCTCTCTCTCTCTCGCCGCGTGCCTTTTCCATGTTGTTCGTGTCCAATTCTGAACGACATAAATCCGATAAGTTTTTATTATTTAGCATATCTGTAGCCGGGGAGCAACGACTACAATCGTCACCTAGAATCCCGTTGAGAGGCCGCGGACGGCCGCTTGGTAGGAGCAACACAACTGGTAGAGAGCGGTAGGGGACTGAAGTCGGGGTGGTGTGGCGCAGCGGCGAAATTTCTGTCGCGAGGCTACGTAGCACGGTTGGCGGTCCCGAGGGATGCCCCGTTGATGTCATCGGGACATCCGGCTAATTGCGAGGATGTTTTGTTAGTTTCTCGGAGTACGCGAGTCTCTTCCCTTACAAGGTTTTGCATTTAGCCTTTCTATATATCGGCAACGTGGACCCGAATCCAAACTTTCTAAAACACCTGGAAATGCGCCTCGCACGAAATAAATTCACATTAATATTTTGGCAAATGTCGGCTTGTATCTTTACTAGAATAAAAAATAATATAAATCCGATTAAATCCATCTAAATCCTTAATATTGACATCTGGATCAAATTATTTAATATACAGGAATGTTCCATTCGTATAAGAGATAATAATATTATCCCAAAAATATGTTTGTTTAAAAGATAGCTTATGATATCTGTTGTATCATCTAAGAAAGAAGAAAGAAAAGAAATCATCGATCAATCATTTTTTATCAAACAATTATACTTTTCCAATATGCAATTAGATAATTTATATTTCAATAAACATATCATCAAATGCGATAGAGATTATACATTATTTGTGATGTTTTAGACGTGAACATTGATTGCGGAAGAGACACCGGCTTCGCTTGGCGGTTTGCAGAGCAGTAACGGTGTTCGGGGATAGTGAGGTATCCTAGGGAGGGAAGAAAGGAGAGGGGATAGCGATATTATTGATTTATGTCCCGTTATACGTTATGTATCCAACGGCATTCTCCGCAGCATACAATGATCCACCCAAGCATAACATTGTTTACACCTGAGAATCGACTATGATAGAATTTTTTGTAAATTATTTCTCTTACAAAAATAATAGGTATACTTATTAATATGTTTTTTTCTTATAATCCTAAGATTTGGAATGTAAGAACTAACCAAGAAATTAATAATAAAATCATGTTTTGTCACACTGAAGTGACTTTGTTACAAACTTTTTCATAATAAGCATAAGCATCGTCTATTTAGATCGTAAAAAATAGCAACAATTAATCTATTATTATTATAGTAATTATTATTATTATTTAATAAAATATATTAAATAAGTATAATTTAATAAAAAAATATGAAATCAATTTCCTAATATCAGTCTCGTAAAGTCATTAACACCCTTACAACGCGGATGCTTGAACCTCCATAAACTCGTGGTAATTATCTACATTATCAGACATCTCCATCGCGCAAATCGAAGCTGACCATCGCCAATGGAAACAAACGTTGCGGAAACAGTCGGACAAGCGAGCAACCATCGCGTTCGAACATTTCCAGGGAAGTAGGCGTTTGTGATATCAATTATCTTCGATACAATTTACATTGTACAAAACGCAGCGTATACGAGAATTGTGTCGTTGGATGCGCGACGGAAATTGGGTAGGGATAGCCAGGCGAAGCGCGGCGAGGAGACAAAATCGTCGAAGGTAAAGGCAATAGTGGGGGGTCAGCGAGCGGGAAGCGCCGAAAATTGATGCATTCTCTATGCAAAATAGCAGAAGCACACGAGGCTAATAGTAGCCGGGCAGCACGCAACCAGAATTCCTCTATAGCAACCGCTTACCATTCTCTCCTTCCCCCTCTGTCAAGCTTCTACCTACATCACCACCTCCGTCACCTACGTCCTGGACAGAATCGAGAGCGGCATAGAAGCCGTTAACACTCTATTAACACTAACGACGCTCATACATAACAACGGTGCCGCGGGGATAGAATTTATGGTCTATTAATGGGGGTTACTTTATGCGTTATGTAGTTGTAGTCGTCATGCCGACAGGTAGTATGACGTAAATTTTACGAGGCCCCGCGCGGAGCGTCCGTGTATGCAATAAGTTACTCGTGAGACCCGTTATTAATGTGTTTACACTAGATATTCGTGGATTCGGTTGGCGCCACTTTTCCTGTTAACCGCCGGAACAATTCCCTCGGGTTGGACCAAGTGAATTAAAATCCAACCGTTAAACGCCCATAAGTATAATGAAGCATGCAAGCAGCCGAAGAGCTAGCACGAACCAAGTATATAAAGACATAAATTTAGATGTCGTGGGCATAGGGATAGCCGACTCCCCTAGACTAGAAGGCACAGAGTCTTATCTCCTCCTGTTTTACTATCTAAATCCGTGCGATTGCGTATATTAATTCACGCAAGGCGAAAGTTCATTATCTAGATATTATATATTTTTACTTTTAACATATAACCCTGTTTATAGAGAAATTAATTAATAAAGTTGATTTTTCTCATCGCTATGTATGATTTAATTTTTTAGCATAATCCTTGCTAAATGTATATTTTTTTCTTTCCGGATATTTTTCATTATAAAAATATTCTTAATTGATTTCAAAATCCAGTCTAATTTAGATAGATACGTAAAATTATGTTTTATCAAATATCTTCATAAATAGCTTCAAAATCAAATTGTATTCTTTCTTGATGTATCTTTTACAGATAGAAAAACACATTTGACGTAATGTGTTATTGTGTTAAATTTGAAAAGAAGAAACAGGAGAGAAAGAGAGAGAGAGAGAGAGAGAGAGAGAGAGAGAGAGAGAGAGAGACGTAG